AATCATTATGACATAGGGTTTATTTGCAGAGTTACGGAGCTCAAGTTGAAAGGTATCCAACACCAGAACTTGTATCAGCTGTAGATCGCTCAGTAGCTGAAAGAGGAATGATATTTATGCATTCATTTGATGATGCCGCATTAATTGCTGGACACGGCAGGTATTATTTATTCCTGGAATTTTCTATTGTATCAACAGCGAAGTTTTGCTTCCTGTGGTTAATAAACTACTATGTAATCAATTGGGGTGGGTGTGGGTGTTGATCAACATTGATTAACTATTTCAAGCATTTATTTTATTATACCAGCTTCGATTATTTAGCAAAGGTGCCTAAATGTTACCTTAAAATGTTTACATGTGTGTAATTTTCAAAAAAAACATAGGATATTTTATTTGGAACGTACACAAAAACAATGCTTGAGTAAAGTCCAACGTAAGAAACATACAGTATCACAACTAATCTAAAATAATTTTAAAATCTGAATATATTTGTCTACACTAGAGAAAACATTAATAAACAATTCTCCATTTGGTAATGTTTGATAGTCAGGTGAGTATTTGAACAATGTATAGAGGAATTTTTTTCTGTGTTCAGAAAAACTGTCACAATGAAAAAAGTAATGTTTTTCATCACCCACATCCTTAGAGTCACATTTGTTACATACCCTGTCAATTTTATTTATTCCCCTGTGACGACCTATTTCAATTGGCAAGAAGTGGGCTGAAATACGAAATTTGGTTAATGCTACTCTGTGTTTTTTGTTTTTTATATCATCCAAGTATTTTTCAAATTTATAATTATTTTTGAATGTTTTATAAGTACTTAGTTTATTATGACCAGTTTTGTTCAATTGACTTTCCACATTTGTTGAGTAAAAAACATATGTAAAATGTGTTTTTCATTCCACACATACAGTGAAGATGGACAAAATAGAATTTATAATATAGAATCTATAATATAGAATCTTTGGGAAACACTCAGTAACAAAGCAACAAGGAAATTTGAAACTTGTCTATATTGTACTGATCGCATTTGATATTGCTTTGGAAACAATCAGATATTGTTATAAGCGTAAGCTGCATTTCTGAACAATATTTTTAAATCCATAAAATATACTCATTTCAGGTTACTCATGTATATTGTTTATACCAATACTGTTAAATCTCTATTAGAAGCCACATCTCTAATAGAAGTCGCACCAATTTTTTTTTAACAATTAAGACCCAAAAAATTTTCATAAGTGTAGATGATATAATACAAATCGAATCCCCTCTGTTGTATTGTACCATTTTAATAGAAACCACGACTTCTAATACAGATTTTGCAGTAGTTAATTTAAACATTTTTCAAAGAAAATTTAGAAAATGAAAATGGTGTTTAAAAACAATTTGCACAATTGCAAATGAATATAATTTCAAAAGAACCTGAGTGTCATCCAATCAGCAATCAGTTTAGCACATGGAGGGCAGTAAAATAGAGCATCCCAATAGCACATCACAATCTCACATCTAGATTAGAATCTATATTTATAAATATCCACAAAACTTTACAGTTAACCCGTTGCACAGTTAATCGGATATGAGTAATTTGAACCAAAATTAGTAAGTAACACATGCTAATAAGTCACATGGCATATATTTATGATAATGTTATGCAAATACATTGGGAAACCACAAAGATATTTACCTTCTATCTGGGTGTTTTTACACATCATTTGCATATGTGTATCATCACTATTATCCCCCCCCTCCATATGTGTTCATTTGGTACCACAAAACAAATTTTGACTTGCATGGATTTAAAAATATGAAAAAATCAATTATTATTTTTTGCAATATGAATTGACACTCAAATTGGATAAATAAATATCATGGTACTAACTTATTAGAATTATTCTTTCTATTCATCATTTCTGGAACACTCTCAAAGTGCTTTTCAATGAGAGTGCTCTGTTTATATCAGTTTAAAATATAAATTGTATCTTTTAGTTTAGGACTTGAAATTATGGAAGATGTCTCTGATCCTGATGTTGTGGTTGTTTGTTGCGGAGGGGGTGGTTTAATAGCTGGAACAGCTGCAGCAATCAAATTGTCTGGTAAAACAAGTACCAGAATCTATGGAGTTGAACCGGAGGGAGGCAAGTATGAACAAATAGAAATTACCGAGGCTAGCTTTTGAAATCTTTCAAGAAATTAATACAACCTAACCATTGATATTTCTTGAATTACCGGTAGGGTTCAATCCATTTTTTTGTGTTTGAACTTGAGACTTACCAATCATAGGTCCAATGCAACAACCACTAGGCTACCGTAACTTAGCTTTGGCTTTGTAAAATCTACATAGTTAGATATTTTTTTGTAAAGTTTCGCCAAGCTGTGAGAAGTTAAAAGTTAGGCAACTTACAGTTTTACAGTTAGGTGGAAATATCTCATAAATATCTATGTTATGTTAATTACAGCATCTACTATGTATAAAAGTAGAAAGTTGGGACACCCTGTAAAAGATCCTAATGTTAAAACCATTGCATCGGGATTAGCACCACCATACACTGGTAAGAAAACTTGTTTTATTGTCCATTTATTATGTTCATTGTTAAATTTGTTTGGTTTGGTATCTGGCGTTATTTCCCGGTGGCAAATCAATGAATATTGCATTGTGTACAATTACCACACATCATTAAGAATCTTCTAGAATTGACAATGATGACCAATATTTCCACAGACATCTCCTTGCTTCCACTTTACAAATAACAAGACAAATAACATAATCCACCCACCCAGTTGAAAGAGCTTCACAAATGTAGGAGAAGGCAATTTACAAGTTTTTTGTATCACTTTTCATTCTCTAGATATTAAAGTTTTCTCAATTTTACACAACAGTGGATATTGTGTCATACTTTACCCACAATCCTTTGCTGAAGAATCAAGATGGTGGACTACATAAACTGATGAATAGTTGAATTATCTAGCAAATGAAAAGTGATATAATAAAAATGTAAATTGCATTTCTCTACATTTGGTGAGCTCTTTCATCTGGAATCGTTGTTGGCCTTGACCTTTCCTTTAATCCTGATTATTAAAAATAATTTTGTAATATTTTATGTTTGCAGGCCCCAATTGCTACCGACATAATATACAATTTGTAGATGACATGTTTTTGGTTTCCGATGACCAAATCAGGTCCGCAGTGAAGACACTTTATCAGTCTGGATTAGTGGTGGAGCCGTCTGGTGCTGCCGCTTTTGCTGCACTACAGAACAACAAAATACCAAATGTAGACGGCAAGAAGGTTGTGGTTGTCTTGACTGGTGGAAATATGACTCCAGGGGAACTAGTTCAAATAATGGCTGAGGTGAAAACATAATATGTTGACATGCATTTATTTTTTCACAATAAAATCTGAACTGTATAATTGTGTGTGTCTACTTTCTATAAAATAGAAAGATGATGGAGTTAGATGCTGATTCAGAATGGGATCAGATTCACATTCATATTTGACAACTTCTAGAAGGATCTTGACATTGAATGAATGATTTTTTTTTAATAATTTTTGTGTGCCAGGTTACAGTTCTGGGCATTGAGTGTCACTGTTGTCTCTCCTGACTTTTTTTTTGTTTGTGCAAATTGCAAGTGCTAGTGCTGACACATAGTGCATTTTGCCACAGAAGTCATATTCATGTTTGGGACTACATGACAGGGCTGTGTGGCCATCTCTGTCAAATGGCAATTTTAATGCACTATCCTGGTGTCAACCAGGCTCGGTCGAACACAACACATGCGGACCTTAACCAAGGTTCCCCCAAAGTCACATTCGTTAGTGAATGAATCTCGGCCAGTGGAATTGGCCTTCCCATTGATATTCATTTCATTTTGACAAATGATTTCTGATATATTAATTATTTATTGAAATCAGTTCATATAGGAAATTAAGTAGGCTTGTATACAGTTTCTTGTTTATTTTTGGTGTTCTTTTTTCATAAAAAATAAAATTCCATAGGAGTGTGTAAATGGCATTACACTTCCATATTGTATTTTATTTTGAAAACAAAAAATAAACAACTGTATGCATGCAAGTCTAGAAATTAAGGGAAAAACACTATATGTACAAACATAATCATATATAGTATTTTAGCAGCCAGATCATCTATCACAAATCTTAAACTAAGTAACTCAAATACAGTACCCCAAAGTTTAAGCTAAACTAGATATTATAAAATTCAGCTTCTTGAAAAATCGTATTAAAAATTGAACAACTTAGAAAATAATGTAGACAATGAGGGCTACATTGTTGTATATAGGTATTACAATTTGAAATATTGATGTTACTTTGCTTTTGAAAAGGTTGCAGCAAAATGAAATTTATAATGAATAATATAATAATTAAATTTATTGGAAAAAGATATAGATGCCCGGCTTATCTGTACCTACAATGAAACACATGTCAATTCACACCACTGCCTGACCTGTTGAATAAACATGAGTATTAAAATGGTAATTGATATTAATTGTTATGAATAATTTATATCGAAACATCCATACAAGCGAAAATGTGCATATATTCGGATTCATTTCACTGGGAGATGTATTATCGGTGCACCCGTGGATATCTGGTCTAAACTAGAGGTAAATTTTAGCGCATACAAAACCTTGATATTATCTTACCCATGAAATCCCTCT